CATTGCTGGGGGACCGGAACTCGATTTTGCGCGCGAATGATTCAAACATTGAAATAATTATGAAATAATGAATTGCATCAAATACAGAAAAAAAATGAACTATATTTAATGATAATTAAAAATTTATATTAAAATAGAATAAGTTACACGAAAAAATTATTATAAATTCAAGCGGTCCCCCAAAATTTTCAGCCAATGGCACATGAGCTGAATATGTATGGCGCGTCCCTCCTACAGGGTCCCTAACAAGAAACAGATTACAACGCCAACGTTGGTAGAAATTGGAATTACGTTCCGTCAAAAAATAATTAGTAACGTATCAACAAAAAAGGATACCCCTTACTTTCTTTTTAGAAATTTTGTATCTATCAATATATCGTATATGTAGAACTTTCACAATCTAAGGCGCGGCATGGAATGTCATTAAGGGATTCAATATATTCTCGAAAAGTTAACGTGTCCATTTAGCTGATGTATCATCACAATTCAAGAGACTAAAAACGTTATTAAATACGATTTCGATGTAATTATTATTATTAACATTTCGATTAAGATTCTATACGCGTTTCAAATATAAAATTTCCCAAATTGAAGTCACCTTGCTAATTGCGAATTAAACGTTCAATGACCGCGTACCTGATAATTTAAAGAAAAAGCGGGAAATTTAAAAAAAAAACGCGATAACATAAAAATCTGTTAAAAAAAAAAAAGTGATCAAAGTATTGCATTGTATATATATTGCGTCGATAAAACAAAAAGAAAAGGATGAAGATTTTCGCAATAATGATTTTGTAATGTGTGGTATTCAACAGGTTGTACAATTCAGTAAACGAATAGAAAGAGTAAAGGATACTGGTTGATGAAAGCCTTTTGCGATATTCTTCTTATATAACAAAGCAATTTTGAATATAATGATAGTGAAGTAATAATAAAAAAATCGTATAAATCATTGAAGCAACTGATTTACGATCTTAATCGATATTCACGTTAAGTCTGATGTAAAAAAATAAATTAATAATATTTACGATCTTCAAATAAAGGCCATAAAAAAAAATGTTGTAAATAATTGACGCAATAATGGACTAATTTCTCTGGATTAAAAATGAAGTGTTTTAGGACTTTTTTTAAACGTACCTGGCATCCGCAACAGGTAAGAACGACGACATATATATTTAATATTTCACTTCTATTCAATTTCCTATTTTTATTTTCAAATAAATATATCATATGATTAAATCATTTTTTAAAATCGTAATAGAACAATATTCTTATAATTAATGATTATACCAGATGTTTAAAAGATAATTTATATAAACGTGTCTGTGTTATTTATGACTATACATAGGCCACAAGGTCACACACAAACAAGGAGAATTTCACATATGTTAAGATGTATAAATATTTCTACCATGAATATTTAATCGTGAACGTATCGTTAACGACTAAGGAAAATTAATTAGATTCAATCGTTTTGAAACAGCCGTTCGATTCAGGTGAAAAAAAATTAAAACGGTACAATCTTTTTTTGTTTTGTTTTTTATAATAACGATGTTTATCGCGAACGCGCAACTTTTAAACGAATCTACCGTTATTTATTTATTTATTGTCAACCGGTTGATCTCTAATTAATTTATTGTTTTTCAGTTGAAACCTGAAACTGTGTTTATCATGAACAAAAAAGTCTATATTAGGAAAATTTAATATTTATTAATATTTCATCCAATACACATACGTCTGAAAAGAAACATAATTGATAAGAGGTACCAGAGGTCGAGGCAGATAAGGATTATTAAACTGCTAAACGGTTGTTCTCAACTAAAGAATTGTAGTTTTCCAAACACAGTGATCACAGGCTTAATAACAAATTCTTTATAATTGAATTTTTTTAAAATTATAATGTACATTTTATATTCGTAATGTTGATAATGTTTCTCGTGACCACAGTCAAATTGATCTAAAAATCTTCAAACTGTAAAACAAATGAAATTTCTACACGCACACACATAAAATTGTGAACATCGTTATTATGCTAATGTAATCAAAAATGTGATTGTAATATTAATCGATATAGTTATTTCTATCGTTTGAATAATTACTACGTGATCGATAAATTAATGAAGAATTAAATGGAGAGATTGTCATCGTGTTGTTTTTTTTTCCTTTTGTTTATTAAAATGATATATAGGTACGTGAAGAAATATAAAATAGAGGACAATATGCATCTATTGTGATTTATCTCATTTTTTTTTTTTTTATGAATACTTATACACATTAAGGTGGGTCAAAAAAATCAATTATTTTTGTTTTTTTTTTCAAGTGCCACGGAAAAATGGGTTGCTAGACACTTTAAAAAAATTCTCACCAAATATGAGCTCTTCATTTTAATAGGAAGATCCTCCGCATCGCAGTTTTTTTATTTTTATTTTTTTTTCAGTCTAATAGAATAAAATTCATACCTCATTATTTATTGATTGTACAGAAAAATGTTCTAGACGAATTTTGTAGGAAATTTAATGCTCTACAAAAAAGGTATCTTACATTTTTTCCGTAAACCTCACCATTTGGATGATATTGAAAATTTAAGTTTGATTATTTTAAGACAAATTTCATTTTTGTAGGAAATGAAGTGCTCTATAAAAATGGTGTCTTATGTTTTGGCGATTAAATGAAGCTTTCAAAAGATATTCATCATCAAACTTTTTTGTTAAAGAGCATCGAAAAAATTACCCCACTTGCAACAAAAAATTGTTTGAAAATTAATAACTCAGTTGAAAATTGAAATAAAAAACTTTTTTATAACTAATTGGACATTTTTTTTTTCTCTAAAACTGAAACATATCATAATATATTTATAATGAAAATTTTGCTTTTT